TTAAAAAAAAAAAAGAAAAAACACCTGGAGAGTAGAAAAGAGCCAAATGTGCTGAATTCTGATTGATTCCTAGTTAGAAAAGCATTATTAAAAAGATACTTGGGACACCTGAATATAAACTATGTTAGCGGATTATTGGGAGTGATCATACAGTGATTATGTAGAATAAAGGCCTTATTTTTTTAAACATTAACTTCCTAGAAAAATTTATTTGAAATGCAGAGCAATAGAGGGAGAGAGAGTTAGAGTTATCTTCCATCCGCTGCTTCTATCTCCAAATGGCTGCAACAGCCAGGTCTGAGCCAGGAGCCTGGAAGTCCATCCTGATCTCCTACATGGGTGGTCGGGGTCTAGGTATTTTGCCCACCTGCTACTCCTTCCCAGGCACAGGAGCAGGAAGCTGGATCAGAAATGGAGTAGGGGAGCCAGCGCTGTGGTGCAGCGGGTTAACGCCCTGGCCTGAAGCCCGGCATCCCATATGGGTGCCAGTTCGAGACCCGGGTGCTACACTTCCAATCCTGCTCTCTGCTATGGCCTGGGACAGCAGTAGAAGATGGCCCAAGTCCCTGGGCCCCTGCACCCACGTGGGAGACCCAGAGAAGGCCCCTGGTTTCTAATTGGTGCAGCTCTGGCCGTGTGGCCAATTGGGGAGTGAACTAGCAGATGGAAGACCTCTCTTTCCTCTCCCTTCTCTGTGTAACTGACTTTTAAATCTTAAAAAAAAAAAAAGGCTTCCCTTACTGCATTTCATGTCACATGTATTCGCTAAAAGCACTCTGCATTCTCCCATGGGAACTGCCCCCTCTCGGGACTGCTCCTGGAGGGTCCCAGAGACCAGACCTGCCACCAGCGCACAGAAACTCCCTGGGGCTTTGACTCCTGTACCTGTAACTGCTCTACTAAAACACGAACCTGAAAGTGCATTACTGGGGCCACGGCGCTCTGCGGCTCCTCAGAGCGGGCACCAGGCCTCAGGAGGCTGGCTGAATCCCAGCTGCCGGGGGTGCCGTCTCCGGGATGCGGTGCAGAGTGGCTTGCTTAGCCGCAGAGCAGCGGGCAGAGCCCACAGGGACGCAGCTGGTTTAAGGAGACTTTCTCATGCAGCGTGCATGACCGTCCCGTGTGAGCATGGCCCGGGGCTGGGTCCCTGCAGAAGGCAGCTCCTGTTCATGGCTCCTCACCCACACGACTGTCCTACGAGGTACAAGTTCCAACGCAATGTCAAACCACCACCAACCCGAAAATACCTAGGAATAAATACCATGAAGACCTGCACCTGAGCACTAGAAAACATCGCTGAGAGAACTTTCAAGAGAGAAAAGACGGGCAGACATTGCGTACTCGTGGATCGGGAGGCTGCACCGTGGGAAGAAGTCAGACCTTCCTGAGTGCATCCACAGAAGCAATGCAGTCCCCACCAGAACCCTGGCTGGGCCGTGGGTGTTTGGCCCAGCACCCAGAACCCTGGCTGGGCCATGGGTCTTTGGCCCAGCACCCAGAACCCTGGCTGGGCCGTGGGTCTTTGGCCCAGCACCCAGAACCCTGGCTGGGCCGTGGGTCTTTGGTCCAGCACCCAGAACCCTGGCTGGGCCGTGGGTCTTTGGCCCAGCACCCAGAACCCTGGCTGGGCCGTGGGTCTTTGGCCCAGCACCCAGAACCCTGGCTGGGCCGTGGGTCTTTGGCCCAGCACCCAAGATGCTGGTTGGGATGCCTGCGTCCCTCATCGGAGCGCCTGGTTCAGTCCCTGGCTCTGGTTCCTGACGTTAGCATCCTGTTAACGTAGACCCTGGGAGGCAATAGAGACGGCTCAGTTACGTGGGTTCCTCTCATGGGGGAGGCCCGCCTCGATTTCCTGGCCCAGCTCTGACTCCGGCCTGGTGCCGGCTGTCGTGGGCATTCGCTCGCTTGCTTGCCCTCTATCTCTGCCTCTCTGATAAATTTAAAAGCCCATGAAATCCCAGCTTAAAAAAAGTGATAAATCCTGAAATTTTCAAGGAATAAAAAGGACCCAGGAGGACAAAATAATTTTGAAAAAAAAAATTGAAAAACTTGACTTCCCAATTTCAGAACTCACTGTAAAGTTGCGTTATGGGCGGTACCGCGGCTCACTAGGCTAATCCTCCGCCTGCGGTGCCTGCACACCGGGTTCTAGTCACGGTTGGGGCACCGGTTCTGTCCTGGTTGCTCCTCTTCCAGGCCAGCTCTCTGCTGTGGCCCGGGAGTGCAGTGGAGGATGGCCCAAGTGCTTGGGCCCTGCACCCCATGGGAGACCAGGAGAAGCACCTGGCTCCTGCCATCGAATCAGCGCAGTGTGCCAGCCGCAGCGCACTGGCCGTAGTGGCCATTGGAGGGTGAACCAACGGAAAAAAAAAAAAAAAAGAAGTTGCATTACTCGAGGCCGTGTGTCACTGGTGAATCAAGCCAGTGAAACAGGATTCAGTTACGAGACAAACCTGGGTGACTGGTTGTTGATGAAGGCAGAGGCTGGGGCGGACAGGGACAGCCTTTTCAACAAGTGCACAGTGAGACATTCACATGCAAACAGCGGCCTCAGACCCTACAGAAATGAACTCCCCAAGGATCATGGGACCTGAGTGTAAGCTAAAACTTCTAGAAGAAGAAAATCTTCACGAGCCTGGCATAGGCCAAGATTCTTACACACGTAAGACACCCAAAGCCAGGTCCATGAAACAGCTAATTGACCGACTGGGCTTCACCAAGATCCCAAACTCCACCATGCAGAGCTCTCGCCCGACACGGGACAGGGGTCCAGAACACGTCAAGAACTCTCGGCTGCTCAGCAGACAACGCATTAGGAAGACTGGCAGTAGAGCAGGCATTTCCCAAAGACTGCACGCGACACATGTCCAGTGGGACGCAAGCAGCTGTCCACAGCAGTGGGCACACGGCTCCGACCGCAGCGAGACGCACTGCACACCACCCCCGGCGCAGGGCCCGCCGTCACCTCTGTTCATCTAGAGGACTGCCGAGGCCGGGCAGCTTCGGGCAAGCACCCGTACTTGGGAGAGGCCGGAAGCGAGCTGGAAAGCCGACTTTCCCTGCTACCCAGGCGCAAGTGGCTGGGGCTGAGGGCACCATCCTGGCTCCACCCCTCTCACCTCCCCAAGCCTGGGCGTGCATCCAGCGGAAGCCCCGCCTTCCAGGGGCTGTGACGCCCACAAGGGCACGGGGAGATCTGAGCGTGGGTGGGGTGACGGTGTGCAGTGCATGCTGGGGGCTGCACTGGGCAGGGGCCACGTGAGTCCTGCAGTTGGGGGCGGGGCAGCAGGTGTGGGGGGACACATTCAAGAACTGGAAGGCTAAGAGGTTTCTCAGGCGCCCAAGGCCTCCAGGGGTGACAGGGAGACCCCGAGTTTGGAGAAAGTGCTGCAGCCATGTGCTCCTCCCTTTTGCCTTCCCCACTGACGAAGCTGCCTCCCACCCACCCTCCTCCGCCGTGCCAAGGACCTATGCACCCTGCCCGGAGCCCATGGAATCCAGCCACGTGCACGCCTGCCGCCATGAACAGGTGCACAGGTGCCCCTGCCAGGCCGCTCCCTGGGACTCCCAGTCCAAGTTCACCGTGCAGAGCAGCTGCAGGGCTTCCTCCTCTCGGGGGCTCCCCCTGCTGGCCACGTCCAGAGGATATTCCAGCACAACCTTGTGCCTTGGGTGTGATCTGATTTCTGGTACCAGCAGTAACTCCTCACCAATAAAACACCATGAGGAGGCTGGTGCTGTGGCTCAGGGTGGAGCCACCAACCCCGACACCGGTGTCTCATATGAGAGCTGGCCCGAGTCCCTGCTGCTCCGGCTCCCTGCTGCTGTGCCTGGAACGCTGCTGAGCGTGGCCCTGGAGCTTGGGCCCCTGCACCCACATGGGAGCCTAGGATGGGGCTCCTGGCTCCTGGCTTAGCCTGCCCAGCCCCAGCTGTTGCAGCCATCTGGGGAATGAACTAGTGGATGGAAGATCTCTCTCTCTCCCCCTCCAATTCTGCCTTTCAAATAAATCTTTTAAAACACACACACACACATGGGAAGGGCGCTGACACACAAGCGCCATGTGGCCGAGGCCCATGGTGGCTTCCCCACTGCTGACAGCCAGCAAGGAACTGCGGCCTCAGATGACGTTCCATGAGGAACTGCACCTGCCAGTCACTGGGCTTGGCAGTAGGTCCCGCCCCTACTGATGCAGCCTCCCGGGGACACTGAGCCCAGACCCTGGCCCACTGCAGCTGGGAGATAACGTGGGGCTGCTGCAAGCTGAGATTTGGGGTCATTTGTTTGCACAGCCCATAGTTAATATGCTCCATGAAGGATCCCTAGCTTTAGCTGGGAGGTCGGTAGTCAGCCACCCCTCGCTGTGGGGACGCCAAGGACATGCAGACGAGGACCATTACTTTTGAGGGCGTCTCCCATGTCCCAACCCCCTCCCCAGGCAGAGGGTTCCAGCGGGACATCTGGTATCTCCGTGACCTCATCTGCTCCCATGCCCTCAAGGGCGAGGTGTACTGTCTGGAACACGAGCCGGCACACGCTGTCTGCACGTCATGAGCACTGGGAGCTTGCGGGTCACGCTGGCTTCCAGGCGGGAGGGTCAGCCGACCCTGGTGTGTGGGACCGGTCCCATACAGACAGCCTCTGCCGACAGCCAGGGGATCGGGTCCCTCTCGGAGGAGCACTTGTGAAACAGCCGTGTGACCTCTCTGATGGATCCTGCCTTCCAGATGCTGGAGGACACGTGGGCTCCCCGGTAAGGGACATGTCCGGGGCTTCTGACATCGTTTGCTCTGAAAGCTTGTTGGTTTCTGCCTGCCCTTCCTGACACTAACTGCGCGGGCGCCCTTGCTCACGTGGGTAGTGATACAGGGTGGCAGAGTGCGGACCCCAGGGAGGGCAGGCACGGAGTCGCTGCTAACAGCAAATGCTTAGCACCAGGCCCAAGTCTGCATAATCCAGGTTGACCACATCATATTAATACATTATGTTAATGAACCGCCAGCTGGAATGAAACATCTGGCATTTAAAATACCCATGTGTGGGGCCAGCGCTCTAGCACGGTAGGTTAATCCTCCGCCTGCGGTGCTGGCATCCCATGCGGGCACCAGTTCTGGTCCCGGCTGCTCCTCTTCCAGTCCAGCTCTCTGCCATGGCCTGGGAAAAGATGAAGGAGACCTGGAAGAGACTCCTGGCTCCAGATTGGCCCGGCTCCAGCCCCTGCGGCCATTTGGGGAGTGAACCAGTGGATGGAAGACCTTTCTCTCTGTCTCTCCTCTTTCCATAACTACCTCTCAACTAAATAATAAATAAAATCTTTAAAAAGAAAAGCTATGTGCGTATATGCATGTGTGCATACACGAGTGTCACAGGGAATACAGTTGGGCATCACATAATGGCCCCGAGGGCAGCAGGATGGGGGTCCCAGATCACAACAGAGCCGAAACACTGGGCTGGTCAGTGACATCACAGCTGCTGTGACGTCATGTGTGTCTGGTGATGCGTGAACACCTGCTGTGCTGCCAGCCGTGTAAAAGCGCAGGACACACAATCTACGTGCGGTACAGAGTCCTTGATAATACCCCGCCGCCCCTCTTACCGCTGTTTCAGAGTGTACTGCTTCTGCCACTTCCAGGGAGAGTGCCTACTGTGGGGCGAGCATTTGAGGGGTCCCACACGGGAGCATCCGCATTCCATTCCCAGCTCTGACTCCTGGCTCCAGCCTCCTGCTAGTGCAGAGCCTGGGAGACAGTGGTGGTGGCTCACATGGGAAACCTGGACTGAGTTCCCGGTTCCCATCTTCAGATCTTCAGCTCAGGGCGGGGGGGGGGGGGGGGGCGGGAACCAGCAGGTGTGAGCTTGCTGTGCCTTCTCTGTCTGTCTCTCTGCCTCTCACCAAAAAAAAAAAAAAAAAAAAAACCAAAAAAAAAAAAAAACAAAAAACAAACAAACAAACAAAAAAACCTACGAAGCTGTGTGCAGGTGGTGTGGACACAAGCTCATCCATTTCAGTTTTACTGCGTCTCTGGACTCCGGCAGAGGCTGTGCTGAGTGACCTATCTGGCCGCTGTGAGCACACCTTGTGGTGTGCACGGTGGGACAGCCCAGTGATGCAGCTTACCTGCCATTAAGTGACGCATAACTGTGTGTGTGTGTTTTATTTTTGATGAAAACATTTAGATTTTCTATTAGATTCCATGAAATTTTTCAGTAATATCAGGGCCAATTTTGGTAGAATTTGGTATGCAGATTTTGGCTTTTTTTCTCTCTGAAAATCTGTTTAGAGAATGGGATTGTTAATATGCGTGGTAGTCTTCCAAATGCAGACTGTGTTCTTGCTGTTCTCTCTGTCGCCACTAGAGGGAAGAACATGCCCATGTTTCATATCACAGATGCCTCAATTTATAGATAGAAGAGGCAAGTTTTGCCTCCTGCTTTAGACGCACAAGAATTTTAATATCCAGTGGATATCTTGATATTGCCAGTGACAGTACATAAATAACTTTAAGGATTGAAAGACTTAGCAGAAACAGCAAGCCTCAATTAAGAATTCCAGCATCTTGGGCTGGCATAAGGGCACAGTAAATTAAGCTGCTACCTGTGGTGCCAGAATCCCGTATCAGAGCGCCGGTTCAAGTCCCAGCTGCTCCACTTCTGACCCAGGTCCCTGCTAACGGCCTGGGAAGGCAGAGGATGGCCCAAGTGCTTGGGCCCTGCACCCACGTGGGAGACCCGGATGGAGTTCAGGCTCCTGGCTTTGGCCTGCCCAGCCCTGGCTGGTGTGGTCATTTGGGGGAGGGAACCAGCACAAGGAAGACATGCCTCTACCTCTCTGTTGCTCTGCCTTTTAAACCAAGCAATCAATCTTCGTAAAGAATTCCAGGATCTCCACAAAGTCACCAGGTGCGTGACCATCACCACCTTGCATTTAAGCACAAGACACAGGCCTCCCATCTCTCACGTCCTCCTCTACTTCTGTGATGTGAAGTCAAGGACACATCAATATCTGTGCCAATTTTTGCAGAAATGAAAGGACCTGCCTAACATGCCCAGTCAGGGGTGGTGCCATCTACTGTCCCTCAGGCTGGGCCCTGTGCACGCAGTCACCTCTGCGTGTGGGCTGGAGGCTGCTGGCAGACCCCCAGAGGGTCCCCAGTGTGAAAGGGGGTCGTGTGCACACCGCGCTCACCCTGTCCCCTACAGTGAAGTGCCGGGTCCTTTAAGCACAGGTAGCCCCTGTTTTATGCGTAGCCCCCATGGGCCCAGGAGTAGCCCCAGGAAGGAACAGACCTCCCTGTGACCTGAAATGACACAGCTCAGCATACAATGAGGACATATTCCAGGTGAGACGGCAGAACAAACCAAGGCCGAACCTAGCGCCAGGCACACGCGACTTCCATTAAAGGCGAGGCCGCCACAAAAATCTCTTGGAAAATGGAATTAAAACTTGCATGTTTTGGTGCAAGACTTTTTTTTTTTAAATTCCTGCATAATTTTTCCCATAATACCCATTTTCTTCAAAGTTTGATTTATTTTCTTTTTTGCAAGGCAGAGTGATAGGGAGAGACGGAGATCTTTCGCATGCTGGTTCATTCTCCAGATGGCTCCAGCAGATGGGGCTGGGCCAGGCCAACGCCTGGAGACTAGAACTCCATCCTGCTCTCCCGTGTGGGCGCTGGGGCCCAAGGACTTGGGCCTTCCTCTGTTGCCCTCCCAGGAGCATGAGCAGAGAGCCGGGACTGAACCCGGGCTCGCCCATGGGACGCGGGGGTCCCGGGTGGCGGCTTACTCCCCTGGCCATGACTGCTGGCCCCGGTGCACATTTCCTGTGAATGTTTTGAAGACCTTTTGTGTTTGCAGATTCCAGTGTTCTAAAATCGAATCGAGTATCTTTTAACTCCATTTTCCACGAGCTCTCGGAAGTGCACACGGATTCCTGAATCAATGACACCGCCCTGTCTCTGAGGCCTCACTGGATCGGCGCCATCAATGCCTGGGGCCCGGGACCAGCGCCTGCCGCTTCCTCTCGGGCTCTAACCGAGGTCTCGCGGCCGAGGTGACTGTGCCGACTGTGGCTCCTTCCTTTGCCAGGGGCAGCTGCGGCCCCTGTGCCCCAAAATCCCAGCTGCTGCCCGGACAGGACCCAGGATGGAGTTCCTGGGGGCCGGGGTGACCTGGCCAGGCTGGCTGTCCATCGCCCGGGCTCAGGCCGGCCCTGCCACCTACCTTATCACGGTGGGCGTGATCTCCGCACAGAAGAACACGCTAAGGCTTCCCACCGCGTGCGAGGCGAACATGCCCACGATGGAGAAGGCAATGGAGAACTTGTCCTTGACGCTGTCACTCATCCCTGCAGGGGGATGGGGAGAGGGGACAGTGAGGGGGGCGTAGAGCGGGAGCGAGAGGCAGGCAGGCCTGGGGGGAGCGGGTGGGGAGGAGGGAGGCCTGGGACCGCACCAGGCGCCTCCCTCTTCCCTGCTACCCAGTTTGCAGTTCCCTCTGGGAGTCAGCGGGTGGAGGCCCTGCAGGGGGGAGGGTGGGCTGGTTGTCTCCCAGGTGCCACGCAGCACCCCCTGCCCCAGCCTCCACAAAGCCTGGGCCATTGCAGCCTCGGGGGTGACCAGCCCACCCGCAGGACAGAGTAGCTCTGTCAGGACTGATTTAAGGGAACAGACACAAACAAGCTATGGGCCCCGAGGGAGAGTGCACAGTGGCCCCGGCCCCTGTTGGCGGCAGCAGGGCTACAGGTGCGAGGCGGTATCAGCGCAGGGCACCGCACGCCACCGCAGGTCCCACATCCAGCCCAGTCCAGCCCCACCCAGGGCTGCACAGGAGGGCGGACGCTCCCCTGGGGCACTGGCCACGCAGGTGCAGTGAGACAGCATCGAGGTGCGGGGCAGAGGCGCTGCTGTCCGCCGTGGTCAGCAGCGAGCGAGCGACACAGTGGCTTCCCCGGCAGCACAGCCAGCCAGGCGCCCGACTCTGCAGGCTGTCGCCCTGGCACTGCTCATGTGACAAACCACGTCCGTGCTGACTTGGGGCGCCTGGGGGGTGGGGAGGGGAGGCATGCGAGCCGAAGCTACACGAAAACAGGCAAGCGCGGGTGAAACTCTGTAGCAGCAGCAAGGCGGGGCAGCGGATACAAATGTATAGTGTCCAACCTACGGCCAACTTCAGCTGCAGTTCTTGGAGGGCAACAGGGGGAGAAAGAGAGGAAGTGAGACCACAGGTCCGTCGCCGGGCCGAGACCGCACGCATGCGCACGCGCGTCGGGGCTCACCTGAGTCCGGGTGCTGGCTGTATTTTCCGATCACTGGGCCGGCGGGCGGGGAGGCAGCACGCGGAGCAGGATGACGAAAGCAGGCAGATGGGGAGAAAGCAGGTCAGGTGTGGAGCCCCTGTGGCGTGTTCCCCTGAGACCTGTTTTTCCAAGCTAAGCCCCACCAGTGCCTGCGTTGGTGCCAGCCGCCAGGGCACGGGACCTCACGGTGGACTAAGCAAAGATCGTTTTGCCTGGAAGAAGGAGCTGAAAACCTTGCTGGGCCCGGAGCTTGGGGAGGAGACAGAACCCTTGAGAACAGGAACCTTGCAGGCCCGGGGGGTGAATTTCCTGGTGCACTCGCCGCGGGTGTGTCCTGGCCGGCCAGACACTGCCTGCCCCCAGCTTTGAACTTGCCCAGAGTTCTGTGGCTTCCCGGTCTGGGCCACGAAGGGCATCTGTGATGCTCCGGGGGCCCATGTCCCCTGCTACATCTGTGCCAATCCTGGGAGCCAGGCACAGGCAGGGGACAGGTGAGGCCCACCTGTCCCAGCAGGGGACAAGTCCATGAGAACCTGCCCACAGGTAGGCCAACTGCTCCTGGGTTTGAACCCATGCTGGTGTGCACCGCCAGGCTGCCCGGCGCTGTGGGGGTGGGGCAGTCACCAAGTCCAGTTTGCACAGCTCGGTCCCTCAGTGTCCTGAGCCTATCCCAGGGGAGCGGTGCCCGGGCGTGAGCGGGGGGCTCAGGGGTCCCGCCCTCAGTGCCGCCGAGGCTGTTCGCAGCGTGCACAGGGGGCTGCAGACTCCCGGCTTGGCCTCCAATGAGTTTTGACCTTCTCAGTAAAGAAGGTCCTGGGTCCCAAGAGGAGCTGATGAACTTGGCAGGACTCATTCTGCCCTTCAGGCTGCCACACACGCACAGAGAACAAACCAGCCTTTTGTTCTTTGTTGTGCAGTCACACAGACACAGCCTGCCCCTCAGTGGACTGGCGTGCTGGGGTCTCAGGGTGGTGGGCAGCTGCAGAGAGCTGTAGCTCTTGGAATGACCCCTGGGGCCTCGGACGCGCCCCAAGCCTCACCCAGCCCCTACACACATCTGGCCCACCCACTGCTGCGCAGCACCCCCTGGGGGCCCGCCCCGCCTGCCCGGCACACTCACGGTTCAGGAGCCCGAGCTGCAGGAGCGAGGCCAGGGCCGTGAGGATCATGAAGAGGAGCAGCCCTCCCCGGCGCCCCAGGAACCTGACCACCACACACATGGCCAGGCAGGAGGCCAGCGCGATGCTGGCCATGGTGTAGTAGTCGGCGTAGAAGTTCTCCAACAGTGGCACCTTCACCTCATGGCCCATCATGCTCCTGGCAAAGCAGTGGTGGATGCCGAACCCCGTGAGCCTGTGGGAACACAGCACCGAGAGGCCGGTGGGCGGCGAGCCATTGCCCAGGGACTCACTGCGCCCAGGCGAGAGCGCGAGCGAGCGAGCTAACTCCACAGGGAACGGAGGCATGCCGGCACCGTATGTGAACCCGTGACGGAATAAAACACAGCTCATTTGATCCCAGGACTGCGTGGTCAAAGCTACGGGCGTGCCCATTTCACAGATGGGCCAACAGACAGAGCGGCAGCTTGCGTGGGGCTCTCAGCTGGTCAGATCAGACACGACGGCTGAGACACAGGGCCCGCTGGGTGTCTGCCTCTTCTTTGGGCACTAGGGTTCTGGGAACTTGGGGACTTATCCCGAGAACTGCCGTGGTTCACCCAGCGCGGCCTGGAGAAGCCGGGCCAAAGGACAGCTGGTCTGCAGGGGACTTTGTCTCAATTCTGAACCCGTTCCCGTGTCTGTGCACCCACTGGGAAAGTGTGTGTCCACCCCATAGAGCAGGAATGAGCGCGTGTCGCTCCTGGGCGGCTGAGGACGCCCACATCTGGCAGCATGTCCACAGCACTGCCGGAGCCCGTTCCTTACGTGAGCTCTGGTGTCCGTCCCAGAGCTAAAAATTCCCACCTCCCTGCTGCGGGCTCCTGCTTCACAGAGACCAAAGGGCTTTTCGCCCAAGGTCAGGTGGGACAGACCCCGCCCCCTGCAGGAGGAAGCCACCCCTGGCTGCAGCTCCACTGGGTGGTGGTGGTGGGGGGGTCCCCTGCAGAGGCTGCAGGTGCAGCCGTTTCTGATCTAGCGGTTGGTTCGGCTCGGGTGGTCTTCCCGCTCAAGGCAATCTCCCCTGCTTTGCTCTGGCCCAGACGAGGTAGGAAGACCACAGCAGGTCATTCTGAGAAACCCCTGCCCCCCAGGACCTCGGAGGCAGAGGCTGTAGGCCTGGCCGCTCGCCGGCCCGGGCCTCGTGCCCCCGCCTGCAGGGTGGGGTGCGCGTCAGATGCCCGCTGTCTTACGGCTTTGGCACTCAGCCCCTGCAGCCTCCCAGAGGAAGCTGAGGCTGCAGCCCTGGCACAGAGAACGGATCGAGAGGAGCTGCTCTGACAAAGCCGTGGTGCCCTGACTGTCCCTGCGGGCAGCCCTGACACCTGCCATGAGCAGGTGTGAAACCCCCATGTGCCCTCCGACCCTGCGCACTAGGGCAAGGGCAGGCCGACCAAGCCGTGAGTGGGGACAAGAGTGACCTTCCAGGTGTACACTGAACAAAAAGGTGCAGGTGCAATGGAGCCACAGGGCCCAGCAGGCTGCGGGCACAGCATGGGAGGGGGCTCTCGGAGAGCATCTGGGCCTTACAGCTGCCCGGGGGTTAGGACCTCTGGCTACAGTGGGGGAGGGGCGGGGCTGGTTTCAGGCCGGGGGTGCAGCTGCTGGTAGCCCGTTGGTCTCAGATCTGCTGAGACGGCTCGGGAATCCTGCACAGAGCACCTGGTCCCCTGCTACCTAAGAGGCAGATGCCGAGGAAGCTCCGGTCACAGGCTCCATGCCAACCGGGCCAGTGAGACCGCCGGGAAGCGGTGCTGCACCAGGGACGCACACCTGCAGGGCTGAGATCCAGCCGCCGGCCACGCCGGGAGGCTGAGCGCTGGGCAGTGCAGGGTGCAAGAGGGCCAGGAGGCCCGGCTGGAGCAGCATCTTCTAGCCCTGTCTCCCACGCTCCCTGCCCCCCCAGCAGAGAGCAGGAGAGAGGCCCTGCCAGGCTCGGGCTGCAGAGGCGGCCCCCGCTGCCCCACCCCTGGCTCCTGGGACTCACGAGTTCACACACAGGACCACGATGTTCTTCCACAGGTTCCGGGTCCCCACCACCTTCACGATGCACACCTTCTTGGGCCGCCGGGACAGCTCCTTCTCCAGCTCTGCGAGGGAAAAACCTCGTGAGTCCTGGGCGGGGCACTGGCGAGGACCCGGGAGAGGCCGCAGGCACCGCCCTGCGCCCCAGTTCAGCATGTGCCGAGGGGAGCGCGTCGTCTTATTCCCTTCAAGCCAGGTGATGGGGTCCAGGCCCTCGGGAATGAGATGCACCCACGAGGCTCCAACTTGGCAGTTCAAATTGCCCAGGAGCCCACGGAGCCAGAGAACACACCATGGAGGTTTCCATGGCAACTCTGGGGAAGCAGCAGGGGTCACACGGATACACAAAAGATGTGGGCACTGAGTAGATGCTGGGCCAATCACAACAAACGGTTCTTGTCCTTACAGTGCCCGCACCATCTGCGCACCTGCAGTTGCGCCCAGAGAGCCAGACACTCACAGTCCCCTTAACCGTGTGGCGCAGGACTTCCCGCGACTGCAACTCTGCCACTGCTCCGGGCACACAAATCTTTGCAAGGCAAACAAATGAATAGGAATGCATGTACGTGTGCACCATGCGTGTGTGTGCATGTGTGAGGGCTCTTGGCCAAGTTAAGGCAAAATGGAATTAAAGGCATGAGTCTACTGTGATGCACAGTGTTTGGAAATCAATGTGTAGTTTTCTCATAATACACATTTCTCATGATTCCAGAAAAAAAATCTCTGCATCAAAATGAACTCATACCTCTTGTTTCTTTTTTCTATGAACTTTATTTTTTAAAATAATTTATTTTTTGTAAAGCAGAGTTACAGAGAGATGGATATATCTATATCGATATATATCTCAAGAGAGAGAGAGAGAGAGAGAGACAGACAGATTGATTTTCCATCTGCTGGTTCACCCCCCAGATGGCTGCAATGGCCAGGGCTGGGCCAGGCTGAAACCAGGAGCCAGGAACTCCACCTGGGTCCCCGACATGGTGGCAAGGACACAAGGACTTGGGCCATCTTCTGCTGCTTTTCCAGGCACATTAACAGGGAGTGGGATAGGGAACAGAACAACCAGGACTCGCGTGGTGCTCACGGGGGAAGCAGGCAGCGGTTTACCCCTCTGCACCACAATGCCCCCCCGCCATGAAGCCCCCCCACATGTGTGCTTTAGTTAACAGACAGGTGTTTGGGAGCTGAGCAAGACGGACCAGGTTTTGGCTCAAAGGGACGTGAGCAGCGATGCAGTTATGAGACCGGGAGCCCCGTGAGGTCAGGTAGCGGTGACCCCATTCTCAACAGTGGGGTCTCGCTGACCAGGCTGACGTCCCAGTGCTGGTGCGGCAACCCGACGAGACGGCGCCTCCGCCCCTAGGAGCTGTGCGTCACGGCAGCATGAGCGGCAGCGCGGCCCCCTCGGCCGTCCGGTCCCCTCCCTGCTCCGGAGCCGGGGGCCTGTCTGTTTGGGAACCGGGAAAGCCAGCGGAGACTGCACACCCCAGCTGGGGGCAGGGCTCCTCAAGACCGCCCAGCCCCAGACGGCAGGGACGACTGAGACACCAGCGCAAATGGTCGCAGAGAGCTGCCTGCCTGGTGCGAGCCGGGACGGGGTCAGACACAGTTCAAACCTAGAAAATTCCAGAAAATTCCAGAAACAGACAGTGCATGGATGAGCAGGGGACCCATGCCAGTTTGACGAGCGTATGGTGGTCAAATCAGACATCAGCAGTGGGGGGAATAAAGTGGAGGGGAGGAGGCACGCAAGAGTTCTGTGCTGTCTCAGCAGCTTCCACAGAAACTTAAATACCCCCGAAATAAACAGTTTACTTAGAACAAAGAAAGGGGCGGGGAGGTCTCTGCCCATCTCCAGAGGCAGCCAGGCGGCCCTCCCGTAGCCACAGGTCCCACAGCCACCGAGCGACCAACTGGGGACGGAAGGGGCCTGGCAAAACAGAGGCTCGCACCTGTGCTGGACAGGTCGCGACCTCCCTCCCCGGTCACTCTTCCCCGAGTGCAGGGTGACGACGTTTATACAGCACTTCCAGTGTGCTGGGTGTTTCCAGGCCTCTAGAGGTGTCCAGCGTACGGGTGGACGCCAGCAGCTCTGTGGACACAGCACCACCTGGCAGAAGGGCCTGGAGCCTCTGTGGTTCTGTCTCAGAGATGCAGAGGGCACCTGCCGGACGCCCGGGAACGACTCTAATCGCCCCAGCAGGGCCCCACCTGTCCCCCGGCACCCACACCCCCGGGGCTGCTCCGGCCCGGGATGCTCCAAGTCCAGCTCTCCCCTTCTGCCTCCGTCCTCACAAACCCTATTCATTGCAGCCTGAGGGACAAAGACTGTGTTTAACCATGGGGGGGTGGGGGCGGCGCTTAGGAATCTGTTATTTAAACAAATTTGGGAGACTCCCTGTCGCCAGGCACAGAAGGGAGGAGGAGAAGGCGTGGGCACCGAGCCAACTGGGCTTCCAGAGCTTTCTCCCCTCTTGTCCTTAGGTGCACAGCTCGAGGCCTGGGCACAGCAGCGTGGCTGGCACTGCAGCTGTCCGTCCGCAGACCCTCTCAGCTCCTGGGTCTCCTAGCCTTCATTTCCCCTCTGATCTGAGTTACGGTTGAAAAGCTGAGCACAGTCGTGAAGACTTGGGTGCCAGGAGATTTTGTCCGTGTGTGTGACATCACATTTTAAATAACTTCTAATATGATATGCTGCTCTGATAAGTATTGTATGCCTAGTTACTATAGCTAATCTCTTAATGGTACTTAACTGATGAACTTTATCATAAATATGGATGTGTGGGAAAAAAATCTAGTACGTAAGGGGTCTGGGACCACCCACGGTTCCAGGCCTCTCCTGGGAAGGCTCCCGCACTGGAAGGGGCGTGGCGTCCTTGCCCGGAGCCCAGCTTCTACTCCGGTCCATGAGACGGAGTGCTGCTGCAGTGACCAGCCATCCTGCCACACCGAGCACGTGTCCCTCTGTCCTCGCCACCAACCCGGGAGGGAAGGGCGGCCTTGCAGACCCCAGGGGCAGGGCACGGCCTCTCCACACCTGGAGAGTCAGCTGCGAGCGCACACCGTGCTCCCGAGGACAGCGAGGGGAGAAGGCAGTGCAGGTGCCCAGGCTTGGAGGCCCAGGGAGTCCGAGTCAGCTTGGGCGGGGGGATGGACTGGCTCAACAGTGCTGACGTGTGAGTGGGCGGTTGGAGAGCACCCGTTAGTGAGATGCAAGCCAGGACAAGACAGGCATTCAATCCCGGTCTCCCACAGGACGGGCAGGTTCTCAGATACCTGCGCCACCACCCACTGCCTCCAGGGCGTGCGTTATCCATAGGAAGCTGGATCAGACGTGGAGTTGCTGGGGCACGAACCAGGCTCTCCGACACGGGTGCAGGGCTGTGACTGCCGTCTGTGCACCCACCCCTCCAGCCATATTTTGATAGCACCCAGCCAGGCTGATCTCTGCCATCTCTGCACAGTGCACGTGGCTCCCCGCAGCGGATGCCACGGACACGAGGAGCAGCGACTGTGAGGAGCCGGGGCCCAGGCTGGCCTGCTGGGGCCGAGTCTGCTCTCTCCCTGGTGTGTTACCTAGTGCTGGGAAGGCTGGGGGTGCCTGATCCGCAGATGTCGCTGTTACCTCCAGCTCTGGACAGACCAACAAGACAGGGAGCGGAGGGCACACCCTGGCTTGGTGGCTGCTAAGGTTGGGGACCACGCCCCACCCAGGGCCTGTGAGTGGACAGCTGGAGGGTGAGGACCCAGGACACCTGCCTGCTGCACACGCTTCCTCTCCGTGGTAGGAAGGGCAGCCCCCTTGCCCTCTCTCCCTGGGGGCTGTCTTTGCATTAACAGCGTGATGCTCCCACGGGGGAGCCCTGGGAATGGGGACTTTGTTCCCCAACACTTTGATGTGGATTAAGTGTATGGAACGTGGTATCTGCTCCCACCACATGTCTCACTCCCCCAGGGCTCTCTGCTAGCCGTACTGTTACTAGGGGTTGGGAGTGCGCGCTCAGCCTGGCGGCTAAGGCGCCTGCATTGCACACGTGAGTGCCTGGTTTGATTCCTGCCTCCGGCTCCTAATTCCAGTTTCCTGCTAATACAGATCCTGGGAGGCGGTGATGGTGCTCAAATAATTGGGTCCAGACCCGGACTGTGTTCCTGGCTCCTGGCTCCTGGCTCCAGCTTCGGCCTCTCCCTGGCTGTTGTGGGCATTTGGGGAGCAAACTAGTAGACTGGAGCACACACACCTCTCTCTCTCTAGCTCTCAAAGAAAAAAGCTAGGGGCTGAGTCCTTCTCTAACGTGAGCTTCTCTTGGTATAGGAGTGGGCTGCAAACCATGTGTTCACATCTGGGACCAGCCGGGCTTCTACTCCTGCTATCAATGTGCAGAAGCGTGCGAGCTGTGACCCCGGGAGGGGAGCTGTCAGTACTTGGCCACGTCACGTGACCGTAAGGCTGTCAGACGGATGCTGTGAGAATGACACTTGGGCACACATCCAAGCATCTAAAGTAAGTCAGCTGTGCACGCTACGGGAACAGAGACGCCCAAAGATTAAAACAAAGACGGTGCTCAGGGAGAAAGGGGGATGGAATGTTTTGGAAAGCCGGGCTTTGCTCGGGCACATCCAGGGTTAGGACGGCAATGTCAGGGGCTCACGTGGCCCCTCCACCCCACACATATGGCGGCCAAGCTTGCAGCCCTGCAGGGCGACAGGCACCAGCAGGGAGCCACCCAGCCCTGGGTTACCGCTGGGAGGCTGGGACGTGGGCAGGACCACATCTAACTGGAGGGCCGACTCGGGCCAAGCGGGCAGAGGCCAGGCCTTGAATGTGGAAGGCCCTGCCCTGAGGTAGAGCACTGTGCGTTCTGCAGACCACGGCAGGGCTGGGTGTCTGGGTGGGGGAGGGAAGGCAGAGATCAGACGGGGTCTCCAAGGCAGTGTGGAGGGGCTGGGGCCTGTTCTAGAGACCCTGGGAGGCCCCTGGGGAGTCCGCAGTGGCTCTGATGCGATCAGTGCCCGTCTGGTCTGGCTGCAGAGGAGAAGGGACACAGCGGGAGGGGCAGAGCAGCTGCACAGCTGAGGGTCAGGGAGTGGCAGGGCACAAGGTCAAGTGCGGGCGGTGCTGCGGCACAGGGAGTTAAGACACTGCCTGCAGCGCCGGCATCCTCTATGGGCCGCTCCACTTCCGATCCAGCTCCCTGCTAATGCGCCTGGGAAAGCAGTGGAAGACGGCCCACGTGCTTGGGCCCCTGCACCCACCCTGGCTCCTTACTTCGACCTGGCCCAGCCCTGGCCCTTGTGGCCATCTGGGGAGCGAACCAGCAGATGGAAGATCTCCCTCTGTCTCTGTGTCTCCCTGTAACTCTGCCTTAAAAAAAAAAAAGTCTTTAAATAGAGACAGACACTGGTGCCAGCAGGGCTCTGGATGAGGCCTGGAAGAGAACTTGAGGCTCAAGGCAAGTCTGGGAGCGGTGCCTCTGGAGCGCCAGGCGGTTCCGTCAGCTGCCAGCTGTCACTCACGCACCTGGCAGGGGGAGGGTTACAGGCACAGGTGCAGTGAGCACCCTGCGGAGCAGCCCAACGCCTGCTCTCTTTGCTGAATCACACATCCCGGCCACCTCTCGCCCGGCCTGAGGCCTGGGACACTGGGACGGAAATACACACCAGCAAAACTCATGTGCAAAGACATGGGCCAAAAAAAAAAAAAAAAAAGATTTAATACCAACTGCCAAAAATAGCAAGGCAATGAATCAGTGTAATGAGGACTGAGAAAACAAGCTCTTTTCTCTCTCTCTCTCTCTCCCAGACACTATTTTAACCGGCAAGCAGCAGAGTGATGATTTAATTAGGGAGAGGCCGGAAACAAATGGTGCCCTGAGACTTCAGCGATTCACCTGTTAATGAAGGGGCCCTGGGGAGCTGGACAAGCTCTCTGAATGCCCGCAAGGAGCAAAGGTGGCCCCGAGGAGGCCGCTGAATCGGTGACCCCTTCCCCGGCATCCCGGCCCCGGGCCTCCTCCCTCTCTCATGTCTGCAGGGCTTTGTGCATCCAGGTCTCAAGGTCAGCGCCCCCGCCCCCCCCCCCCCCCCCCAGCCCTCTGCACACAGCGAGCACTCGAAGGCCCTGGCCCACGGCACTGTCATGAAGACACACGGTCACCATCAGAGCTCTTAGGACCAGATGTGCACATCGCTTGGGAAGGCGACTGACCTCTGAGCACCGTGTGGGGCCCTGTTTCCTGTCCTTGCAGAAGAAGGGACCACACACGCCATCTGCAAGCGCCCCACGCCCTTTGGGTGAGACCTGGCTGCTGCCCTCGTCTGCGCCAGGCAGGCGAGGGCGTTGGGGTTCCCCTGAGCCCACCCTGGGCTGCAGGTGGTGCCAGGCCAGCACGGCTGCTCCCCTGCTGCAGCACCTGGGGCAGCCCAGGTCACCTCACTCAGGGTCAGAGAGGCAGGTGGGCCCCCTGCTCCAGGCGCGGCTTCCCCCACAGGGCACGTCCTCAGGCCAGGCCCAGGTCCCAGCTCCCTCTTGCCCCTCAAATCAGGCTCCCCCAGCCATTCTGATGGTGCCTGCACCCCACGACCGCTGCCTGGCCAGCTCGCTGCTCCAGGCACAGGGCACACCCAACTGTTCCCGGCTTGCCGCTCGCCCCCCGTGCCCCGCTCGCACCACGAGAGCAAGGCCTGCCCTCTCTGCTGTTTGGTCAGTATCCGCTGCGTGAAGGACGGATGGATCCTCATCGCAAGACTTTCTCATCACGGAGGGGGAGGGGGTGGGAGAAGGCTGGGGTGGGGGGGACGGGCACTCTCTCTGGGACAAGGGCTCACGGGTCTCTTTCTCAGTGAACTGTATAACAATGGTCTCTGCCAGGTCTTCAGGTGAGGGTAGCGGGTCAGGGCTTTGGGTGGCCGAGCGGCTGCTGTGTCACTCTCTCTTCTGAACTTACTACAAATGCGTGTTCTGGGGCCGGCGATATGGAACAGCTGACGCCCTGTGGGTGCCAGTTCGAGTCCCGGCTGCTCCCTGCTAATGCGCCGGGGAGAGCAGCAGCAGATGGCCCAAGCCCTTGGGCCCCTGCACCCTTGTGGGAGGCAGAATGGAGTTCCACACTCCAGGCTTCAGCCTCACCCAGCCCTGGCCTTTGTGGCCATTTGGGGAGTGAATCAGTGGACGGACGATATCTCTGTGTCTCCCTCTCTCTCTCATTTTGCCTTGCAAATAAATACATTTTTTTAAATGCATGTTCTCAGGGCTCATCCCAAATCTCAGACCCTCTGGTCTAGGGAGGAGCCCTTGGGCACCAGCCACTCCTGGTGAGACCTGTGCACCCCCAGCTCAACAGCCCTGCCTTCACTGTGCAATGCACCTGAGAATCAGGAATTCTGGGGGCCAGAACCACCACACAGTTCATTTTTCCAGTTTTCAATCGCTCTACAAATAGGGCATGGCCACAAGCAGACAGGGCTGGGATGTGGGTCACACTCGGGAACACACGGGTGGTGACAGCCACCTGCACCTGCAGCTCACACCTGGAGGCCTTTAACCTGGCAGGTGGGCAGGCCAGGCAGGTGCACAGCCAAACCCATCTGTGGAGAGCAGGTGTCAGTGAGACTCAGGCCTTGTCCTGGATTTGGACAGGTGTTGACCTTGAACAAACCAACACTTGGAAACTGGAGACAATGCCAACTCATTCTGACTCCTAGACTTCAGCTGTGACTGTTGCCCATAGAAAGACCAAGAGTTCACAGGGAAACCACCCGCTCTGACACCTCTGGGTCGGCGAGAGGGGCTCAGCCTCCAGGGACCACCCCGCCCCCAGTGCACTCACCGGGCATCACGCCCTTGATGTCGCTCTCCGGGCTCATGCAGTTCTTCTGGGTGAAGTGCAGGATCAGCTTCTTTGCAGCCTCAAACTGCTGCGTGGCCATCAGCCACCGGAGAGACTCGGGGAATATCCTGCCAAGACACAAAGGGACCGTGAGCGCCTCCCCTCTGTGGGCTCCGGGGCAGGTGGTGCCCGTCCGCACCCATGGGCTCTGGGGGGCTCAGGAGGGCTCAGCGGGATGGAGACTCAGGGCCTGGGGACGCTTCCAATTCTTTTTTTTTTTTTTCAAGGGTAAAACTCAAGGCTTAAAAATAAAGTGGCAGACAGGAACCAGCGACTGCCTTTCAAACAGCCACGAGTTTCTAAAGCTTGTCTAAATAAGAAGTCCTCAAGTGCTGTACTGTCTTTAATCACAAGATGCAAACACTAATTGGATATTTTAAATTTTAACCTTGCCTCTCATCAAGAGCAACCTTGCGGCCACCCTCTCGGCAGGAGGGCGAAGGCTCCCCCACCCCAGCACCACCTCTCCGCCATGTGGATTTCAGGTTTCCTTAGCAACAGAATCTCTGCTGTTTCCGTGAGCGGGACTCATGCGAGGGGTCCGAGGAGGAGAGAAAACCTCCATCCGTGTTTTGCTGTCAGTCAGTTCTGTCGTGCACTGATGGTGGCATTCCCAAGTCAGAGAATGAGGTGCATCTGGAGAAAGGGTTTACATTTTTGGTTTCCTGTAAAAGCCCTAGTAGTATTTTGGACTTTGTGGTCATGGGGGTCTCTGTGGTGGCTCCCCCCCTCCGCCTTGCAGCCCATCACGCACAGGAGTGGACACACAGGGGAGTGGACGTGGCCACGTGCCAATACAACTGTTCCAGTTATCACCGTGTGGCTTTACTACCCAACCTCCAGGAAGTCCTGACACTGGGTGGAAGCCACTGTCGCCACCTGACACTGCCAAGGCTAAGGATGCTTCAAACGCAGCGTGCAGCTCTCAGGCAGCATCTGTGGTGCTGGGGCCGGCATGACGGCGTCCACCGCTCCTTCCGCCAGGCACACGTTGGAACGTGGGATGGTATGAAGAGGCGGGGTCTGTAGGAGGTTGCTGTCACGAGGGCGCCCCCTCACGAATGGGGTTAGTGTCTCTGCGAAAGTTGAAGGGGGCTGCCTTGCCCCACTCTGCCACGGGAGGGGACACAATAGGGTACTTGGGAAAGTCCATGGGAACATTTGAATTAGAAGGTACGCTGATTTTGCTGCCAAAAAAATAAATAAATAAACGCATGCACACAGGGGGCTTCAAAATGTTCATGGAAAATGTACGCTTTAAGCAAAAGAGCCATCTCATAGGAACAAAGCCTCCCAGACACTGCACCTGCTGGGGCCTTGCTGGGGCGTCTCTGAACCGGGAGCAAGGAATTTCTGTTGTTTGTAAAGCACCCAGGGTCAGGCTCCTCACAGCACCACACACGCTGAGACAGAGGGTAACTTTTATTTCAAAATCACATCCCTCAGGAAGCCTAGGACGGCTGCCTCCCCCTCATCTACCTGAACAAAAGCCGTCTTGCTGTTTCCTGCGGCTGTATTTTACGGGAAGAGCTGGGCATGTCCCCTGGACGAGGTGGCACATTCGGCGGTGTGACCGGACGCTTGGCCCACCCTGGGAGACCTGGGGAGCTGCCGCAGGACTTGAAGCTGCCCTGTGGCGCAGCCATGTGGACAGGCAGGGCGGCCGTGGCAGCAGCCCTGAGGAAGCCCAAGTTTCTATCCATACAGAAACAATGCACATTATCCCAGGTACGCATAGTATACGTATTGCTATATTTTGATAATCAAAGTTAATGCTTATTTTACCGGCCTCTAACTTTTCTTTTTTTTCATTTATCTTTATATATAGAAGATCAATTTAGTATATATTAAGTAAAGATTTCAACAGTTTACACCCACACAGAAACACAAAGTATAAAGTACTGTTTGAGTACTAGTTATAGCATTAATTCACATTGTACAACACATTAAGGACAGAGATCCTGCATGGGGAGTAGGTGCACAGTGACTCCTGTTGTTGATTTAACAACTGACACTCTTGTTTATGGCGTCAGTAATCACCCGAGGCTCTTGTCATGAGCTGCCAAGGCTATGGAAGCCTCTTGAGTTCACAAACTCCGATCTTATTTAGACAAGGCCATAGTCAAAGTGGAAGTTCTCTCCTCCCTTCAGAGAAAGGTACCTCCTTCTTTGATGACCCATTCTTTCCACTGGGATGCTGGGATCTCAGTTGCAGAGATCTTTCTATTTTCCTTCCTTCCTTTTTTTTTTTTTTTTTTTGCCAGAGAGTCTTGGCTTTCCTTGCCCAAAATACTCTCATGGGCTCTTCAGCCAGATCCGAATGCCTTAAGGGCTAATTCTAAGGCCAGAGTGCTATTTGGGACATCTGCCATTCTATGAGTCTGCTGTGTATCCAGCTTCCCATGATGGCTCATTCTCTCCTTTTTAATTCTATCAGTTAGTATTAGCAGACACTAATCTTGTTTATGTGCTCCCTTTGACTCTTAGTCCTTTCATTATGATCAATTGTGAACTGAAATTGATCACTTTGACTAGTGAGATGGCATTGGTACATGCCACCTTGATGGGATTGAATTGGAATCCCCTGGTATGTTTCTAACTCCACCATTTGGGGCAAGTCAGCTTGAACTTCCAGTCCTCGTCCATATTATTCTGTGTTTCTGACATATTTGGGCTTAGTGTCTTTTCACGGTTTCTTGGGATGGACGCTTATAGGTCACTTATTAATTTTCCTGAATATGTATTTAAGACTTCAACATTTCAGCTATGCGTCGTTAGCTACATCTATGATTTGACTCTAAATATTCTGTGATTTCTGCTAGAATTCTTCCTTACCATTAGCAAAATGTAGCAGAGTTTTGTTCTGACAGCACAGACACCATGTGCAAACACTGCTTTAATCTGACAGTGCAGGTATTTTGCAAGCAGTCTCTGTTGTATTAGAATATAACACATGGGGCTGGCACTGTGGCGCAGCAGGTTACAGCCCTGGCCTGAAATGCCAGCATCCCAAAGGGGCGCCAGTTCTAGTCCCGGCTGCTCCTCTTCTGATCCAGCTCTCTGCTATGGCCTGGGGAAGCAGTGGAAGATGATGCAAGTCCCTGGGCCCCTGAACCCATATGGGAGACCCGGAGGAAGCTCCTGGCTCCTGGCTTCGGATCAGTGCAGCTGCAGCTGTTGCAGCCAGCTGGGGAGTGAACCAGCAGATGGAAGACCTCTCTCCCTCTGCCTCTACCTCTCTCTGTAACTTTCAAATAAATAAATTAAAAAAAATTTAAAATAAAGAATATAACACATAACATGAAGATCGTGCCCTTCTGAAATAATTAAGAATTACTTATGTTGAATATATGCTAACTCCTTTACAGGTTTGTATGTAAACAAACTCTCCAGCAGGGGCTGGATTTCAACCCTGGAAATCATAAATGAGTGGTGCCTTGCAGGGGAGGAACAAGGCGCGGAGGAGGCAGAAGCAGGGGAGGGGCCGAGCGAGGACACCCGTGTCCCCTGCCCCGGCCACCTCAGGTCCTGCGTCCTCAAGCTCCGACCGCAGGGTGGCAGCTCCCCGGGGTGTGCCCACCGCGCTCACTATTGCGCCCTGGCGGGTGGGCGATGAGCGGCAGCTCAGGCCAAACGGAACGCGGCTGGGTGGGGGGTGTGTGAGCCGTATCGTTCTGTCTTCCAGAGCCCTGCGCTTAGCACACGAAGCAGACGGTTCTGCCGCTGGGATTCCAGCAGCCTGGGCGTCGGCTCCGGCCAGGGCAGAAGGCGCCCACCGCTCCTCAGTGCCCTTTGCAAGGTTCTCCTCTTCCAGGTTTCAAAGCCACAGGCAGAGACCCGGCGGCAGGTGGAGCCTGGCGTGCAGCCCCATAGGCTGGCGCCCCCAAGTGGCCAGGCAGCCACTCTGCAGCTGGTCTTTGTCACCCCTATACTGGGGCTCAGGACGCCAGAGTTTGGATAACTAATAACTGACAACCGCGATATAAAATCCCCCAAAGAGACTGCGAGCAAGCTCCTCTCTAGAGAATGTTCCAGAATTGCAGGGAAAAGGTGGAGCAAGGCCCGGTGGGGTCTCGGGTTTTAGGAAGTGAGTGGGGGCCTCTGTTGGAGCTCACGCCTTCCACTGGGCCGCCCAGCTGCTTTTTCCAGGGGGTCTGCTCATCGTCAGCACAGCTCCATCTCACATCACTCTGCTGACTGACATCTGGGAGGCCAGAGGGTGCACGGATCTGAATTCACTGCAGGGTCACAGAGGCTCGCTGGCGTGCTGGCCCTGGAGAAAGCCCAGGAGTGGCTGCTGGAGTCTGGATAGTGTGCGGTGCGGCCACATGACGGAACTGAATGCAGTCTCCCCGGGCAAGCACATAATGCAATAATGTCCCACAAATTAAAGAGCCAGCCAGCGGCGCAGGACCGGGGAGGAGGCTGAGAGATCGATTGCCTTCGCAGAAAATTAAAAGGTCCAGGAGGCAGCTGGAGACCTCCGCCCCACGCACCCTTGCAGGTGACGGCTGAGAGGTGACCTTGGGGACGACTTCTGCAAGCGCCGAAGTGACCGGCTGTAAAAGCCACAGCAGCTTTCTGGGTGGATGGGGCTGTGGCCAGGATGCTTTTGGTTGGCTTTTCCCATCTTTGTAGCTGTTATCACACACACAGGTAAGCAAGAGGAATTTTATTCATGGGGTGAGATGGAGGCAGGTAACCCCTTCATTACATGGTGTGCTATTACACCCCCATTTCACAGATAGGAAAAGCGAGGTGAAGGAAGTTCAAGTATGTGGCCCCAGGATGTGAATCCTCATCATCTCGACAGATTTTCGGGTGAGGAAGACTTGGGTCTTGACTTTCCCACCTGACAAGCTGGGTGCTCACAGATTCCCACAGGACTTCTGCAGGGAGCATGGGGGCAAAGCCAAAGGTCTCCGTTCCTCCTGCACAAGTCGCAGTCCCTGTGCAGAAAGCAGGGAACGGCAAGGAGGGCTCTCAGATGCAGAGCGGGGAAGGCATTGTGCCCGTGCTGCTCAGGACAGGACGCACCCAGCACGTGGCAGGAGGAGGCAGAAGTGTG